AGGGAGGGAGGGAGGGAGGAGTGAGTGGATGAGTGGGTGGCCCTGTCCGCCAAAGGCAGCACAGACGGCACCAGGCCGGGGCCTCAGGCGGGGCCCTGGACTGCGGAGGCTGCTTCCCAGGGTGTAATCATGTCTCCAAGGCTGCCGCGACCTACTCCAAACTAAAGAGACCATTACACTTCTTCCTAACGGACAAAGCAATTCGTCCCTGTTCTGTATTTGTAGTTGGTGATAATGCATTTTAAACAGAGCTCATTGAGTGTGTTTTCACTGGTTATTTTTCTTGGTTTTAACACTCCATTGTGCGCAAAGGCCTCGTAGAAAATTGAAAATAAAAATCTCCCCTTACCGATTCTGTCATTTTCCATTTGTCAAACATTGATTTTCTCCCCCTTGTGCACCTAATGGAGGTTGAAATTAGCTCTTTCTTGTGTGCTGTTTACTTATTTGCCCACCATCATCACTGTTCATCACGCTGCCGCTGAGCTCTGGGGCCGCGCTGGCGAGTTAGCTAGGGCCCTGACGTCTGCATGAGGAAAGCTGGGAATGGATTTCTGCTGCAGCGCCAGCTCTGGCCTTTAAAATTCCTTTCTAGGAAAGATTTCAAATATAAGAGGCATTCCACAGGAAGGAACATTTTAAAAAATCACCAAAACTAGTCCTCCCAGCTTTTTGACACTTTGAGGCCAACTGGAGACTCAGAAGAGAATGTGGAGATTAAGGAACCTACCTCTCTTCTCCCCAAAATACAGACAAACTCAAGGTGCGGCTCCCTGGTCATTGCTCTCCCTACTGTGATGCTGGGGTCTGCTCTGGCCGCAACACCTTCCTGAGAGGGCAGTGAGTGAAAGGCTGCAGGGTCCTGGGCCATAAATTAACGGGAACGGTAAGGAGACTCACATCTCACATGCACCCACTCAGCCACTCAGCCCGGGCAGGTCACACGCACGATACTGCTACTCTCATTTCGAAGTCACGCACACTGAGGCACAGAGCTGCTCAGTGGCTGTTTTGCTCCTGTGGTTACTGTTACTATCCTCACTATTATACAGGGGTTTCCAGTGGTTACAGATCCACAGTCAGCTTCAAATGAAACAATGTTGTGAATTTACTTTTTGCGGTCAGATCTGATCCTCAAGCCCAGTGTCTGCCTCTCCCAGGCCACTTACTATGAGGTCTCCTCCTCTTAGGAACTGGATCCTGGGCTGAACGAACAGCATGTCGCCCAGGTAGATGGTGTCACACACAATGTCCACCGCCAGCCAGCAGTACGCGTTGTCTGGAGTCTGATAGGGGAAGGCCAGGCGCACGGGGATCAGCCAGCAGTTCCAGGAGTAGGCGGAGGTGAGGAGCAGGAGCCACAGGAGGTAGCAAGGATCTGGAGGAGGAGCAGAGGGGGTGACTGTAGGGCTTGTGACAGCATCACATTGTCCTCGCTCCATCCTTTCTGTCTGTAGAGCTGGGGTGGGGTCCTCGGAGGTAGCTGGGGGATGTGAGAGGCCCTGTTAACAGTAGAACAATGCCCCTCGGGAGTGGTGTTCAGAGATCTCAACTCTTCCAACGTCGGAGCCAGAGCATGTTCTCTGTCTCCTGGAGAAGTGGCCCCTGAGTTGTGCCCACAGGTGGGGTGCTCTAAGAATCAGGAAAGGGGTGTCCCCCCGGGCAGGTGCCCACTGGCCACCTCTCACCTCGAGGGCAGGCTGGCGTGGGGAGGGTGGAATCAGCCCAGAAGGCTGTTCACGTCTGAGCCCCTTCACACATCGCTTTCCTCTGCCCACAGGTGCTGCAGAGGGACTGGTTCCATGACCATAACTAACCATGTGCAGCCATGGAAGCAGAAGGACACTTCAGAATGATCTGGGGGGCGGGGTGTCAGTGCACATGCTGCTGAGAGCTCTGGGCTTTCTTTTCAAAGGTCATAGGGCAGGACAAAGCCCGCACTGTCTTTTAAAGACAGGCAAGGACAGGTGGGCAGGGAAACAGAGCATCTGTGCCTGGGTTTCCAGGTCTCTGGTCACAGCCAGCCGTCCTGCTGGGATGGTCCACCTGGGATGTACAGTACCTGTGTATGAGTCGATGCTTCTTGGGAGTCTGATTCGCTTCACCTGCTCCATAAGAGGCACTGTCTGGAGTTCACAACAGGCCGCGCCGCAGTGCTCCTCTCTGAGCTGAGCGGTGCTCTCCTGGGCTGACGACACAGCTGTGGGCTTGGCTTCGTAGGGAAAAAAGATGTTTTTAAGAGGTTACGTCCACTTAGTGAGCCAAAAGCTTGGGTTTCTTGAAGTTGGAAATTCCAGAATCTTCCCCCCTCTCAATCCAGGTAGAGGAGCTAAGATGAAAAGGTGCAATAAGGTGAGTTCATGGAGGGTTACTCTGGGTCACCAGGCCGGGCCCTCTGAAAACCTGTGGTTCACTCAGGAGACTGACCCTGAGCAGGATGGAGCTGGGGTCTCAGCCCAGACTCCTCTCCTGCATCGATTGAGGGTTGCTGCAGGCATGCGTCTCCTGCCTGCTCTCGCCTCCCTGGACCACCCTGGATATCAACTGTTTCAATCTAAATCACTGTCTTGGCATCTGCTTTTGGAGGGACCCAGACTAAGACACTTGCAAAATGCACGTCCCTCGTGATCTCCTCCCGTCGCCCTGAGGAGCAGTGCTCACCAGCCTGGGGGCTGCACTCGGCAGAGGACAGGTCTCCCTCTGCCAGCGGCGTCCTGTGCAGGGCTGTCCGGTGCCGCAGCCTCCTCGCCGCGTCACGCAGCCGGGCGTCGGCCCACGCGCTTGTCACCGGGGCTCCAGGCAGTTTGCTTTTCGGAAAGAACGTCAACAGAGATGAGTTCATGAGGACATATGCACAGGGACGGGTGACGTCTTTTCTCCTTCCTGTGTCCTGCTGTTTCTGTCTTGTTGAACGACAGACAGGAGTCAGGCAGAGGATATTAGAGTCCACTCGGAATTTCTGGGGGAAGAGAGGAGCAGGTCTTTTTTCTTTCATTGTTTTTTCATAATAATTAATGATAAACTCGGACAGTTGTCCTCAAAAGTCACATTTAAAGAAAAGCCTGCTTTGAACAAGTAAACAGTTTTTACAGGAGCACATTTCTGACTGAAATACTTGAAATGACTGCAAAATCTGATTCTCACCGACGCATGTGCTGGTCTACCATACAAGCTACGAATCTGAAGCCAACTCAGGTCCGGCAGATAGGACCGGGCCAGCCCTCACGTCACGCCCTGCCCACGCTCACCTCAAACACCGAGCGTCTGGGTGGTCTGTCACATTTCCCTGTGCACACGGCACTGCTTGTACGCAGTGGTGTGTACATATGGTCACGTACATACGGGCTTTATGAGGGGCAATCTCCCGACCTCGATCACCCCAGGTCTGTCCAGAGCACACTGCAGCACGTTCACGGCTCTCCCACTTCTCCCGCTCCCTGCACAGGAGAAAGGCCAGGAGGAGTCACAGCAAGCAGCCGCCACCTGAGAGCCAGGGAGAGAGGTCTTAGGTCTGGACTTCCAGCCTCCAGAACTGTGAGAAGTAAATTTCTGTTGTTTAGCCCCCATCTGCAGTATGTTTCGGCCGACCGAGCGGACTATTAGGAAGGCCTGGTGCCTAGAAAAACCAGGTGGGCCTGGTTGAAGCAGCAGACGAGAAACTGGATAAAGATAATAAGCTGACACCATAAATCTCTCGAAATGACAGAGAGAAGATTTAAAAAACGGACAGTGCCGGAAAACAGGAAATTGCTGTCTGGAAAACAGGAAATTTGAGAAGTTTCTTGAAGATAGAAGGTGCATGATTCATGCGCACTCATTTCAGTCTCAGAGCCGTGATGTGCTTAGCACAGCGCTGCCCTCGCTGTCAGTGAGGAAAACCTCGGCCTGGAGCCCTCACGGGAGGTCTGCTGCTGGGGGAGCCGGTCCCGCGAGTGTTCTGCCCTCGGACAGCCTGGGTTCAAGGCCAACAGAGGCGCTGTCGGTCATTAGGGCGAGGACCCGTGTGGGGGGGCTTTGCGCAGATAGACTACTGCCTGGGAGATAACCCCTGAAGAAGGAGCAGGCGTGTGGATGAGAGATAAACGAGTCTTTACCTCTGAGCCACTAAAGGAAAAATGAAGTGCCTGTCAGAGCAGATTATTAAAGAGGAAGATTGAATTCGAGCAGCTGCTGACAAATCCTGGGAGCCAGAGTGAGAGCCGTGCGGGTCGTCTGGCTCTGCGGTGAAACGCTCCCTGGTGCACGAGGGACCCTTCTCTGTGCGTGGTCACATCCTCAGGAAGAATCTGACCTGACGGGGTTGCCGCCAGGTCTCCACTATGGTCAGTCACCTGCCACTGGGGACAGACCTTCGGGACCTTCATGCCTCTAAAAAGACACCAACTGGAGTTTGACAAAAGGCGCAAAAGCCATTGAA